TGAAATTCATTACGGATGCAAGAAAGTGCGCGTGAATCAACGCACAAGTTTCATTTACGATTATTAATGGGAAGCCGCAACGTGGTGAATGACTAATGAGTTCACTCATGGTTAAAAATCATCATTATATGTATAAAACAGAGTTTTGTTAGTTACAACGTTTATAACTCAAGAACGAATGAACGGATTTTGATTATTTGTGAATTTTTGGATTTGTCTTGGTTTAGAATAGGAGAATATATAATAAAATTTTGGAAATTTTGATATACAGGGTGTTAAATCATAGCTTAAAGTATAAATCGACATTTATTCTTAGTTATAATAGAATAATTGAATTCTAGATGTCGCTAAAGTGCATTATTATATTTTTTAAATATAATTGTTAATTTTATGAATGAAATCAACATATACAGGGTGTTCAATCAGAAAAAAAAAACAGTTAAAAACATTTTTTCTAAATTTATACTAATTTATATATCAAAATACATTAATAATTTACTTATAGATGGCGTTAGTAGTGATTTAGTATCTCTGTATGCAATAACTTAACCTAAAATTAAGTTTTATAAATAAACAGTGAATGTTTTCGTGTCGTAAGAATGCATATTGCAAAAAATACAAAAAACAATAGTAATTGCAGTAATTGTTACACTTACCCACTTGATTTTTGTGCAATTCTCGCCTCCTGCAAACAAATTAGAGTATTAGATTAACAGAGTATTAGATGTTGCTTTAGGGCGCGTTTTGCAAGCGGTAATCTATTATATATTGTTTGTAATTTGTTGCATTTACTGCAACACCACTTAAACAAACATTGTATTTAAATTATTGTTTAAAATTCACTATTTTATTTATTTTTATTGATGTTTTGATAAGATAATCTTTTTTTTTAATTTTTAACTGTTGAGAATACGAAGATGCTCTTTGGGTTGCCTAGGCTATAATTAAATCTGACATTTCGTGTCAACTTCTGTGGATTGAGCGCAAATGACATGTTTCTTCTTCTGTTCTTATATTTTTAGTGTTTGTTTTATTATTACAGTAATTTTTATTGCTCACCTTATATCTTAACTATAAAACAATTATTGCATCACTGTAATAATGGACATTATCGCATTTCAACATTATCCAATAATTATATTTATTTTTTCTACAAAAGAATACATTGTATCGTCGCGCATGCGCATTAAATCCCTGGGCGGAGCGATAATATTAAAAATATCATCAATTTCTTTGTTTGTGAATCCACAGCGACATTTCCAATGATTTTAATTACATAGGAAATGCGTACGAATCAAAATCAATTAATGGCTACGTGTGGGCGCAAAATCACGAATTACAGCATACAACATTGTTTCGATGCAATCGAAATCGAAATTGTAATTATTGCAATTGCAGTGATGATGAGATATCGCCAACAAAGCAAAGTGAAGATGATGTGCATTGTTGCATGAATAGCGGAATCGATATAATATCGAAAACAATCAAACGAAAAGTGAAAATCGACATTTTACGACTGCGCATGCGCAGGCGCAATGCAATGATGTCATTGATGATTTTCTCTTTAATCAAAGTATATTAAATGTTTTCAGAAGAAGAAATATATTGCAACATTGTATTTAATGTTAAAATGTGTGTATTTTGGGTTGCATATATTTCAAGGTATAACATGTCACTTTTTTTTTTTATTTTAATCATAGTAATAATTGTTTATAATCGAATAAATATGATGTAATATTGTATAAAAATGCGTGTATTTGGGTTGCATATAGTTTCAAGGTTGAAATCAAGAAGAAAACTGTAATTTGCAAACTTTCAAATTCAATTTTGATTTTTTTTTTTTTTTTGAATAATGCAATACAAGATGCATTTTCTGATCAAATCTTGCGATTACAGTTATTTCCGAAGAACGTCAAGGCCAAAAACCGAACAAATTCTTGTTTAACTTTAATTTAGAAACAATAACTTTGCGATTTTGGACTTTGATAAACTTAATAAACAATGTGAAAGTATTCACACGCATTTAAAAACACAACTACATACATTTTTTGTTCCTGAAGTGAATTAGTTAGTGTCGTAGATATTTACGAATACTTTTACTAACAATTTACAAAACATAACCAAATTTAAGTGACTTTTTTCGCACGGAATAATAAAAAGCTTTTTTTGTGACCTGTCACTTTTGAGTACACATTTACAACTTGTAATATTATGGCTTATTGTGAATTTACCTTCACGTGTCTCACGTTTATGGACAAAATTTACGATGAGTGATGTTGAGCGCAGAGAAATCAAAGACGGCGAAAAGTCCTAGGGGTCAAGATCTAGTTCTAGTTTATTATGTGCTTGCTTTTTGCATTGCAGACAACATCTATCATGCATTCAAAGTCATCGCACTTTCTTTCATACTCGAGTCAATTCCGTATTGAGAATTTTAATTTTTTATTTCAAGCTCACGAACGCGATTTTCGTGATTTGAAAATATTAAATTTTAATATATACTATAAACTCGTGGTTTATTTTTTCTCTTCTTGCTTTTGCCATTAAAGAAGAAGAAATGGAAAGTTATGATTGAAAAATGTAAAAATAACAATGAAAAAATGAATCGTAAATTAAATGGCATCAAGTGATGATGAAGTATATGCGAATTGGAAAAGACATAACCTAACAAAAAGTGAGGTCATGTTAAGATATACTACTATAGGTACTCGTACAGTGCGAGAAGACAAGAAAGTGCTTTCTTTGCGTTTTGTCATTTGGAAAGTACGAAAGACATAATTCAGGCGGGCGGCGAAGGCGGGATGAGTATTTTTGTGGTTTACGTGATGAGTCAAGATGCAAAAAGGTCAAAATGTCGAAATTGAAGGCGGATTTCATTAATCAACTGACATTTTTGCAATTACATTGGGAATTGCTATGTTCGGTTCTTATACCGCTACTCAAAGCATTAGCATATTTTGCAAAAAGCTTAAATTTCTACAAATCAACATGTTTCTGAGAAATTAATTGCTAAACTTAAGATAGGACATTTTTACAATTACATTGGCAATTTCTATGTTCGGTACTTATACAGCAACTCAAACATTAGTTTATTTTGCTAGGAAACTAATTTCTCCTACTCAATATGTTTCCTGAAAATATAAAAAGTTAAAATTACTTAAGTTAAGACATTTTTAAAATTACATTGGAAACCCTATTTTCGATACTTATACCGCAACTCAAAACCTAGTATATTTTGCTTGGAAATAAATTTCTACAACTCAATATGTTTCCAAGAAATAAATAAACTTAAGTAAACTTAAGTTAAGCTAACTTAAGTCGTGTTTAGTCGATTGTTGCTTAGTTCTCATCGTATTGAACTGAACTGGTTTACAAGACATAATTCACTGAAGCAGAACTAGAACATATTTGAATTAATAGACAAATTGTGTTTTTATTTAAACATAATTTTATATGATTCCAGTAATTAGCAGTCAATCATTGTATTTTTTGCTAATCGATTCGTGACTTGCTGACATTTAGCAAATATTACATGCTCATACATTCACGGACATTTGAAAAAGTGACTGAAGATGCTCCCATGCAGTGAAAAGGCCAAATTGTTCGCGATCGTAACATTTAATTCAGTTATAACCTAAAAATCTTCTACGAAAAAAAAAACCGCATCATCACAACATCACAACAAGTTTTACTACTTTTTCTGTGTCACAAAAGTTCACAAATAAAATTTCTACATAAATTGCAAATCAAATGTTTATGACTTCAATTAATTTGCATTGGCAGTGGAGAATTTTCAAAGTTGAAGTTGAGTCTGCGATTGCGCGCGCTTCTCAATTGAACTGAACCGAAATCCGTGCGGTTCTCACGCGTCCACGGCGCACGGCGGAGATTTAGGTCACATTCAATTCATTCAATGCGAATCAAGATTCAAAACGTGTATTGTCTCCTCGCGGACGAGAGAATATATGCGCCGCGAGCGCAAATTATTGGTTTCGCACCCGATTGATCGATTTGGCTGCATTTGCATATTATGTACAACATTCATTAACTAATAAATCGTCGAATCGGCGGAGCGGTAAATGTAATTGTGATTCAATTTGTGTGGCGCGCGTAAAATTAGTCTACATTGCGTCATGTTTATTTAGAATTTTGTTTTGTGATTGTTTATTGCTAAAAATTGATCGACAGATGTAATTTTGAGGTTATTTAAATATAATTTGATGGGAATTAACAATAGATGTCGGATTTAATGATATATTTTGTATTTTTTATGTAAGCTTATGTTATTTTACTATGTTCGGTACTTATACGGGAACTCAAAGCATTGGACATTTTTAAATTTTTACAAAAATCAATTTTTGTTCTTAAAATATTTGAAAAAATTCAAATTTTGTTATAAATTTATTATTCGAAGATAAACGTTTGTTATTTTACTATGTTCGATACTTATACCTCAACTCAAATCATTGGCCAAACTTTACTTTTAAGAAAAATTCATTTTTTCGGCTAAAATATTGCAAAATCAATCAATTTCTACTCTAAAATGTGATATCTAAAGTGTTCGGTACTTGTACCGCGACTCAAAACATTGAAACAAAAAAAAAATTTCTTTTTTTTAAGTGAAATTTATAGTTAAAATAGTTTAAATACCGATTTTATTAAATCTATTCATTGTACTCTTGAGAGACAGATGTGATAATCGTGAAAATGAAAGTTTAATTTTATTATTATACCGAACGATTTAACGATTTGAAGGAAGCGGCGTTGATAATCACTTCGAGTATAAGAAAAGCATTCACAATTAATTGATGTGTTTATTTTCTGATAGAATAATTAATGGTGTGAGAATCGCAGAAAAAGTCCTTGAAAGTGATAAATTCATAGAAAAACTTTCCTTTCAGATATTTATCTACACCTATCACTCTATAATATAAATTTATGCAACTTATTATACACATAATTCAATTAAATTATAATTATATTTATTTTTTCTGTTTCAGATAATTAGAAACCTTCGCCATGGAACGCTATCACATATATAGATTAGGTAAGTGTTTATACCTATACATAAAATAATTGTTTATAACATTTTTTTGATAAAATATAACAAAAAAATGATTTTTTTGGTAAAATGTTGAATTTTATTACAACTTTGTAATACGATTGTGCCAATCGTTACAAATAGCAAGCGTTTTTTGAGTTTCCTGTGATGTGCCAACATTCGGCGAAAAAGCAAAAATCGGCAAACGATTTAAACGCAGTTTCGTCAGCGCTGCAATCGCGCGCATCCGGCCGTCGAAGAAATTTGAACGAACTCATGCGAGGAAAGTAACGAACACCAAACCAATATAAACCAATATGCAACCATCCATACACTCATATACATCTACACATGCAAATTGTGCAATCGCCGCCATAAAATTTTGCTCACTTTGCTCTCATTACTCTCGTTACATACGCATACGCAACGCGGTGCAGTAAGTGTTCTTTTAATCTGAAAGTAGTGCTATTAGTACTACTCGAGAATAACCAGCGATGGTGGAAAGAGAGGAGGAAAGCGAGGACGCGAATGATGATGATGATGAAGAAGAACTTTGCAAACAGAAACAGCGTCGTGTAATGATCGCGAAGAAGTTCAACGCGGTAAGCGGCAAGGCAGAATGTAGGAGTGACCTTTATGTTGGGTCATCTGTGTAGTCGAGCATCCGTAATAGTACTCGTAATTTCAGTTGTAATTGATTGCATCTGATCATTCGGGATCATCGGAGATTAATTATTTTAACCTTTTGGGAGTTTTGAGTTGAAACTTCCTATGAATTGGTTTGGAAAAAAATTGTTTTTTTGGAAAAAAAAAACTTGAAAAAGGAAAAAAAATTTTTTTCAATTTTTGGCTTAAAAAAATACTTAAAATTGTAACAGAAATCTAGAAAAATGTGAAAAAGTGAATATTTCTCTTAAAAATTGCCTATAAATGTAAAAAAAAATGAGAAAAAAAGGAAAAAAAATTATTTTTTTTACAAAAAAAACTTAAAATTGATTTAAAACACTATAAAACTATAACAAATATAAATATTTTAAAGAAAAAGGTTATAACAATATACAAGTACATTAATCATTTAAGAAAAAAACTAAAAAAGTTGATTTTTTGGCAAAAAAAGTGAAAAATATGAAAAAAATCGGAAAAAAAATTGCAATTTTTTAACAAAAAAAAACTAAATTTTATGATAATTCTACATTTTTTATGTTTTTCCAGGAATAGCCATTCTTTTTTATGCAATCTTCTTCCGAAGACCAATGGTACGTAATTTATTACCCCAAAAATTCAAATTTTCTAAAAAAAAGGTTTTTTCTTAATTTCAGCTCGTCAACTGCGCAGATGTAGACGATGCCATTGGAAATGTCAACGACACATCACACAAAATATCAGCACGAGAATACTTTGTTTATTACCAAGGTAAATAATCTCCAAAACTAATATTTTATTAATAAAACAAAAAATAATTCTCTTAGGAGTACAAGGGAGACCAGGAATAGATTTTCCGGTATTTTCACGAATACCACGAACAAGCTTCAGCTGCAAAGAAGTCGAGAGTGGATATTACGCCGATCTGGAAACGGATTGTCAAGTAAGTAAATTGATCCGCCTCGAAATGATGAATAAAGATGCTACCGCAACGCAAAGTGATTTCATAAATACCGCTTCATTAAATGTGGCAACACTAGCCGCATCCATATTGCAACAATGCGCGCGCGGGTGCCGGGCGGTAACTTTTTCTTTTACGCGTTTTCATTATGACATTATATAACCAAATCGCGTCGACTCGCGACGAGGGAACATCCAAACTGACACACAATAGACAATTACAGCGCGTCGTTTCTCGCGTCGTTTTGTAACCGTTTTTAATTTACTTTTCTCTCTTCTTAAACTCAAATTGTTTTTTTTTTGCTAGGTTTTTCACATTTGCAACGAAGGCACAAAAGTCTCATTCCTCTGTCCAAACGGAACAATTTTCCAACAATCAGATCTAATCTGTGATTGGTGGTTTAAAGTTAACTGCACTAATTCACCGAATTTATACGAGGAAAGCGCTGAACAGTTACGAGAATCGATTATTAGACGTAAAGCTTCGAGGAGAGTGTATGGGAATAGTTTTGAGAGTAATGAAGCGACATCTACCGCCAGAATCATCGAACGAAAGCAACAAATCACTTTTAATAACTTCAACGGCCAACAGAGGGCGAATAATTACAATAACCTCAATAATTTCCAACTCCAAACTAAAATAAACATGACGCGTAAAATTGACGTTGACATTTCTGACAGCCGTCAAGGTCGTAACCGTCACGTGTTCGCCGTTGAAGATTCAAGTAAAAGTGAAGAAGAAATGCAAATACCACAGGAAAGCGGGTCTTTTGTAAGGGATTACAATAAGCGGGTTACCAAAAACCCTTATCCAAACCATCGGGAGACCTATAGTGACATCCAAGACCCCAAAACTTATTATACCAATAAACCATCCAATCAAAACACTTTAAACAATGGTAGACCATTTGTGGTATCAACCCCGAAGGTTGGAACCTATACAACTGAGAAAACCACGTTTAAATATTCTCCAACTGTTCCGAGTGTAAGAAAAAACAACTACATCACTCCCCTGCCTAGTTCCACTACCACCAAGAAGTACATGTCCACTTACGGGGAGAGAATCCGATTGGCTAATCAATTTTCAACTAAAGCTAACCCAGTTCCCAAGAGTTATTCCAATGTGGAGACGTTTACCAGTCCACCAAGTGTTGCAAATGGGAAGTCTACAACACCAAGGAAACCCGTGGTTCCCAAGAGTAAAAGTTCTTTCACTATAGGGTTGAATAGTGCCCAAGGGTCTGTCTCTATCAAGACCAGTAATGTTAAACCTCCGTCTTTGACCCAATCAGCTCCTTTGAAGGATAGTAGACCAAAAAGTAAAGGGGTGATTAAATTAAACTTGTCTAGTGATGGTCCTGCGAAGACGGTGAATACCAAAGTGGATAGGACACCTCCCAAGCCTAAAATTAGGTTGGATCTTGGTGATTTGGAGGTTCCCAAGTTGAAATTATCCTTGGATAATAATGAAATCTCTTCTTCTACGAATGCCAATCGCCCAGGTGGTTTTTATGTTACCAAAAGCACCTTCAGACCTGGGGAGTATGCTACTTCAGACTTTAACGCGGGTTCTATCACAGGGTCTAAGAATACTTACATACCTACTACAGGTAGACCTGGTACCACCACTTTTGGGTATCCGCAGAGTGAAACCACTACTTTTAATTATGTCAGTAATACTTTTGGGTTTGTTAAACCCACTGGGGTACCTAAACCTAAACCTTTTGAGTTACCAAGTAGTACCACTCCTAGAACCAGGACCACAACAGAAGGGTATTATGATACAACCCTTCCGAATTATCAGATATCATCAGCAAGTCCTTTTACTAATATCCCACCTACCTTACCTTCAATTTACAATGGAAAGGCCTATGTGGGTAGTAGTCCCAAAAAGATCCTACCTGAGAATGTAGGGAATATGTTACAGACTCTCCAACAAATCGCCAATGTCAGATTTGCTAAAAATGAACATTTTGATAACAAAAACCAAGAGGGATCTACTTTGGACAGTGATAAACGTCCTGGGTTAGTGGTCCCACCATCAGTAGGACCACAAACTTTACACACCTTAGCTGTTTACTTCGCCAATGCTTTGGATTCTTTGGTAGAGGAGTCAAACTCCACTGTGGAGAGTCAAACCAATCAACCCAATCAACCAGAATCCACAACCTCTCAAGACAACCCCAATACCCTGGTCAACTCCCTCCTAAGTCAGGACACAGTGAATAAATACAAAGAACTCTTCATGATCATGGCCCAGAAGGAAATGGAGAAAGAATTGAAAGATGAAGAAGATGATGATCAAGAAGACCTTCAAAGGGAACACTCCAACAACGCAGTTCAAAGTCCCCGGGTACGTCAATTAGCAAAGGTCTTCACCCAGGCTCTATCCTCCTATCTAGATGACCCAGAAAATTTCAAAAAGGTCCTACATCAGGTCAGACCCACGGAACCACCTCCAATCAACACCCTCAACACAGAAACCCTGAATAATGAAGAAGATGAACTCCTGAACTTCTCCGATGCGGATATTAAACCTGAAAACCCAAGATTACCCACTCTGGCACCTCCTAACCCCACTTGGGGGTATATCCTTGCTTATAACACAAGTGATTATAAATCAAACCACATTGATCAAAATGATGAGAACCTTCAAAGTGCGGATAGTCAAAGTTTCATCCCAGGGTTCAATGAAATCAACTCCAACAGGGTTGACAAGTCTCTCAAAGCAGGTTTGCCTAATAATCATTGGACATCAAGCCCAGATGTTACTAAACTATGGCAGAGCACCCTATATGTCAACCCATTCCAGATAAATCAAAACTTTGACGCTACCGAAGCCTTGGTTGCCACCTCAACTGAAGAAAATGAAGAATTCGATGATGATTCAACACAGGGAAGTGTAGTTACCCAGGATGATTCAATAAACCAACCGGTAGATGTCACCGAATACAACACGGAAAGATATATTGATTATGAGTTGAGATCTTTACCAAAATTTAACCTCAATTCAACATCTGTGCATGGATTACTCATAGATTTCATGAATTCATCGAAGTATGATGAGAATGGAAGATTACAGAGAATTTTACGCAAGTTAAACACAACAGAAGATGAGTTTTTAACAAAAATGAAAGAAATTGAGAAGAATCCTTTGACTAAACGCTTGATTCTTTTACTTGTGAGTGAATGTGGCAATTCTACTGATGCGAGAACACACGCTGTGAGAGATATTATTAACCTAGCCAATCAGAATCAGAGTGAGCAGAGTCAGCGCCACCAACGTCAACAGAACGAAGCTCCTGTGAGTAACTTGCAGGAACAAAACGAGCAGAGTGTAAGAACACGTGCTGGTAGTCGGTTTCAACAGAATTCCTCACTGAATAAATTGATTGATCCATCGCTTAAAGATGATGATCAGGATAGCAGAGCCATTCAATTGTTGAATTCTTTATATAGCATCGCGTCAAAATACGGAAAATAATTTTCTATGTTTATTTACATTTTCCGCAAAGTTTAACTTTTAAAATATAAAATTAAACTCTTTTCCTTTATATTTGGCCAGAATTAGACTATACACATATTTATTTTGTAACGAATCAACGCGATTAGTTGTAGATCACTTTTTATTCTTTTATTTTCTATTTTCTATCTAAGCCATTGTTTTAAGCGTAATAAGTATTATACCTATTAGTGATTAGTGACTTTATGCTTACCAGAATTAGTGTATTAAGTGGAATTGTACAGTAACACAAAAGTTTCGAGTTCCGATGCGGGTTAAACACAAAAATCAAAATTATCAACAGACAGAAGCGTGTTTTTCATAGTTTATTTGAGAATTCAGATGGATATATACATAATCAATTGTGTAATTTATATTTTTGGTAATTATTCTTTTATTAAGTGGTAGAAATCTTGTTTCTTTCGACAGTATGCATGTAAATATTTGTTTTCGTGAATTTTGTATGTATCTTATGCTTTTTTAGGTAAATACTTGTAAGAAACTGTAATATTGTATAATTAACAATGTATTATGAGTTATTTTATGTGTAAATATAATAAATTTTATAATTTTGTACATTTTGACTGCGTTGTTTGTTTGAAACAAGTTAGTATCAGTTGAGATTTTCACGCGGTGAGTGTTTTTAACCTGTTTGTGGTTTAAAATCAATTTTTGTGCATTTAAATCGTTAGAAATTGAATAAAAAGGAAATTTAAATTTGCCCAAGACTATAAAATATTGATTTTGTGTGTTTTTACAATCAATCTTTGTTTTTAAACTGTTTAAAATTCAATAATTTGAACGAACTTAACGAATAGCATAATAGTTCAATAATTCAACGTGTAGAGGGCAGCACGGTGTTCACGTTCAAGTTATTTTATACCCTTGCACCTCTTGTCCAATTTGTTTACTCAAAACAAGTCATTCAACGTGCAGATAACACAGTGTCGCTTGAGATTTGCACGCGGTGTGTGTGTTTTAACCTGCTCGCGTTGTAAATTCAGTTTTAACACGTTTAAACATTTTATATTGATTATACAGTGATTCTTAATTCGCCTCGACCATATACTATCGAGTTTAAATGCTTATACAACCAAATTCGCGTTTGAAACCGTTGAAATTCAATAATTTAAATGTAATTTATTAAATTTCATCATAGTTCCGGTGTTTACACATATGAAACAGCGCAGAGTCTACGTTCAAGTCATTTTAAGTGTAAATATACAAAATTTCATGATTTTCTACTTCTTGGTTGATTTGTTTAGTCAAAACTTGTTATTCAACGCGCAGATAACGCAGTAACAGCTGAGATTTGCACGCGGTGAGTGTGTGTAACCTGCTCCGGCTATAAATTCAATTTTAAGACGTTTAAAACGTTTTATATTAATTAAAAAGTGAATCTGGACCTGTTGAAGACTATTAACTATCATTTTTGTGTGGTTTTACATTCAAATTCGTGTTTTGAACCGCTGAAATTCAAGAATTTAAAGAATTGAACAATAGTTTTGGTAGTGTTACACATAGAGGGCAGCACGGAGTCTACACTCAAGCAAAACACTCTTTAACGATGTTATCTCGCCAACACGCCAACATCCGAAGTCAAAACATCAACAAAACAAAGTAAGTGCACAAACCTCATAGAAATATTTATATATTCTGTTCTTAAAACTTGATAATTCCATACAAAAAGTCTATCATACATAATTAGTCATCTTAGAGTAAATCTACACAAGTTTTCCCTTCGTATTCTTCATCATATAAATAACACAAAGCAATAATTAAACTCGTACGATGCATACAATGCATTCCCATCCATGTACACACACAAAAATCCAAATATACTCGAAACACGTTTGTTGTCTATATTACATTAACATAAAATTGACTCCAGCCATAATTAATCATAATTATATAAATAATCGTCGTTATCTTACACGTTACTAAACTAAATTATAAAACAAACATGTCTATGTAACAAATATTTTGATGCGTCGTTGACTATGGCATTGAATGAGCGACTCTCTTCTGCTCGTTCAACGATACATGATTTATTATAACGGCAGTCGAATTGAATAATAGATTTTACTGAAACTTTTTCTTCATAAAGAGTAACAAAAACAATATATAATTAGAGCTCCGTTGTGGTTTCCACTGGCGAATGATCACCGTAACCGAAACTCATGTGTGAGTAGTCTTTCTTTTCTCTGAACATCACGTTATCGTTCGATGGAGATGTATTCATGTCATCATCTTCATCTGATGATCTAGAAAGTAAAGAAAAATTAGTAAAAAAGTAAAAATAATAGTATATTTAGTATCAAGTGTGCTAAGTGGCACTTTAACCACGTTTTGCTTTTGTTTTTGACTTTTTTATTTTAAAACTTCGAATTTTGTTCGCACATTACTTGGAAATGTAAGGTTAGAAATACATTCAATAGAAATACAAGCTCTACCCGTGACTAAAGTACTTTAATCACAGCTTTAACTATTCGTGACTAAAATACCACTTTTCGTGTCTTAAAACTCTGGCATTTTAAAGATGGATATAGAAAAAACATAAAATTGCATAAAAATGTTCATTACTCACCTATAAATATTATGATCTCTTCGTAATGAATGTGTATTCCCTGGTGTTCCTAAAATATGATCACCAACACTTGACGCACGCGCAGTAGTAGCAGATTCACTGCTTACAGGACTCTGTTTACCATACTTTTTATTCCCGTGTAGATTATCTTTACTGATATAACTAACATTGTCCAAACTGAACGCGTGATTCTTATTGCTGAAGTCCAAGTGTAGATCATTGTACTCATCGGGATCATCAACAGGAACACACATTTGCAACACTTGCGTTTCGTATTCTTTTAAATTTGGCTCTACGTAGACAGAATCATATCTGGCGGGACTCGCTGGTACTACATAGGAACGCTGCATTTGATCTTTGAATGATTTATATCTGAAAAATAGGAGAAAACATGGTTTTAGTACATAACCTCAATGTAAAGCTATGGAATTTGACAGTTTGACAGTTTAAGAGTTTTGACAGTTTGATAATTTGATATTTGACAGTTAAACGATTGAACTTTTGATATTTGACAGTTTGACAGTTTGGCAATTGTCAGTTTGCCATATATTTGACATTTGACAGTTCGCCATATGATAGTTTGCCATTTGACAGTTTTGACAATTTTGACAGTTTTTGAAATTTGACAGTTTGACAGTTAGACACTAACCTGCTCCATGAAACACAAATATAAATAATTCCAATTATCCCCGAGATGAATATAACACAAGCGATGACAATCAACGCATAAGGAAAAACTTCTCCATTAACAGAAGCAATCGAAGCAGTTTTAACCCTGTGTATAACCAGCGGTTCATGAATATTAAACGCCGTATGTTTGATTTGTCCGGTTATATCAAAAGTGATATTATCCATTGCTGGTTTATCAAAGATAGACCTCTGTACGATATTATTATTCCTCGCAAGAATACTATCACTCTGTGGATCTATCAAATAGAACCAAATATCTGTAGCAGCTGGATCCGTTTCGATTGTTTCATTTATATTAACAAACTCTCTCGGTGCTAATTTCTCGATGCCCATTACAAGCCCGCTTTGCTCTTGGACGATATCCGATAACAGATCGAGTTTTGTTTGTACCACATCCGGTTTCGCATCGCCAATTACCAGAATCATTCGGTTTTTATCGTTTATTAAATTTACGATTAACTCGGTTTCGGTTTCGTGGAAGTTTTTGGTGGAATTGGGATTATCTCGGGCTGTTACTGTTAGTTTGAAGGGTTCTTCGATAGAGTCGAAATTTTTCTTTGTTTTGATTATGCCAGATTGCTGATCCATGGAGAAATATTCACTTTGGTTACCTCTCAAGGAGAAGTTGATTTTTCCTAGTTTACCGCTATCTTTATCATCAGCCTGGAAATAAAATAAAATTTTAGGTTATTTTAGGTTATGTTGTATGTAAAAATAGGATAGATTAGGTTAAGATTAGGTTATGTTATATTTTAAGGTTAGATTTGGTTATGATATATATAAAAATAGGTTAGGTTAAGTTAGGTTAGGTTAAAGTTATTTTTTAAGGTTATAGTTAGTTATATTCTACGTAAAATTAGGTTATGTTAGGTTATCTTAGGTTAAAATCGTATTTTAAGGTTATATTTGGTTATGATCTATGTAAAAATAGGTTAAGTTAAGTCAATTTGGTTAAAATTTAATTTTACGGTTATTTTTGGTTAAATTTATGTAAAAATTGATTATATTACCTTAATTTGTATAACAGTAGTAGCCAAAGGTGCATTATCAGCCAGCGCAGCATAATACTTCTTCGCCTTATCATTCTGATAGATAAAATATGGCGCGTTATCATTCACATCCCCCACATTAATATTAACCTCAGTAATCGCAAATTCCTTGTTAATAAAACCCTGCAGAGACATAATCTGCACTTCAATGCTATAACTCTCCTCCATTTCATAATCCAAAGTTCCATTCAAGTACAACGCACAGTTTCTGTCCTCAGTGACATTAATCCTGAACAAACCTCTCATATTACCAGAGATAATATGACACTTCAAGGGAATAGTCATGCCATGTGATCTGCTATTAACAATCGTCAAGGTTTTGATCAATTTCCCCACAGTTGCATTTTCATACACTTGTATTGTATAAGAAGTATCCGCGAATCTTAACCCTACTTCCGGTGCGACAGTGGCGACATGTTGAATGTAAATATCTAAGGTTATCACTGAAGATAACTGAGGTTCACCTAGGTCATACGCACGAACATCAACTTGATATTCAGTATCAATTTCTTTCTTTAAATCATTTGTGACTTTTACATTTCCGGTATCCGGATCTATTTGGAAATATTTTGATGCTTTGCCTCTGCCGATAATTTCATATCTGACTTTGTTACCGGGTGCAGTGCCATCTGAATCCGTCGCCATTAACTTCGTGACAAGTGTACCAATCGCCACGTCATCATCTAGTGTAATCGGGTGTGGTACGATTGTAAATACTGGGGGAATATCATTTCGGTCTTCAACGTTAATAATAACTTTTGTAGTGCTTCCTTTTTCATTTGACATATTCTCCAGTGTTCCGATTATAAGCGTATGTTGTGTATCACGTTCATAGTCTAATCCTCTGATTGTATAGATGGCGCCACTGCTTTCGTCGATTCTGAACAAATCAGTCGCACCACGCACAATAACATAAGTTATTTTTTTAATAGTATCAGGATCGTGTGCCATTACATCTGTTACGAAGTAATCAGGCATGTTTTCCGGTACGGTTGCTTCATATTCCGGACGATTAAAAATAGGTAATTCATCTTCAATGTCAAGAACTTGTATTGTGACAGTTGCAGTTGCAAGTCGTGCATCAGGAGCGCCATCTTTCGCTGTTACAACAAACTGGTATGATTTTTGTTCTTCGTAGTCCAATGGACGTGTTGTGGTTATCTCACCACTATCACTATCAATACTAAACGGTAGATTGGAAGGAATTGAATAGGATACTTGAGCGTTTATTCCTTCATCAGCGTCTGTGGCGTGAATAAATCCAACTGAAGTGTGATTCATTCCTTCTTTCACAGTGAAACTATAGGGATCACCGACGAATTCAGGGTTTTTATCGTTGATGTCAGTTACTTTGATGTTTACTGTTGCTGTGCTTGATAATTTACCAGCATCTTCTGCTTTTATCATCTTTTTAGGAAAAAGTGAGGTTAAAATCATTTTTATATGGAAAAATTTTAACTTACCAATTGATATTTAGTTAAATCTTCTCTATCTAATCTTCTGATAACTGTGATGATACCAGTCTTGGACCCAATCGCAAATTGTCGTAAATCATTCCCGTTTACGATTGTGTAAGTCACCGGATCATTTTCCGGATCAATAGCCTATAAAAATAATGTTTTTCATAACATAACCTCAATTGTGAGCTATTTACTTACAAAAATAGACGCGACTGTTGAATTTATACTTGCTCCTTCACTCACTTCAATATCATAAACATTTTGATCGAATATAGGTGCTTGGGTGTTTGGTCCCGGACTGATTGTAACCTCAACAATCGCTTGGGTATACAACCCACCTTTATCAGTTGCTTGAACTGTCAAACTGTATTGATCACCAGCGTTTAACTTTCCAACTGTTTCTAATACTCCAGTACGTGAATTGATGATGAATTTATTATTACCATTGTTGGAAACATGATATATGGAATAGGTTATTTCCGCATTGCGTCCTTCATCGTTATCAGTAGCTTGGATAGTGATAACTTTACGTTTCAAATCACCTGCAGGAACGGAAACAGGCGGGATCATCGGTAAAACCGGCGGATTATCATTCACATCATTGAGGTTTACAGCGAGGGATAACGGGGCGCTTGCAGCGACGCCATTTTTTTCTCTCGCGACGATTTGAAACCGGAATTTTCCGGGATTCGGTGGATCTCTGTCGATGTTATTCTCATTAACTACGAGGTTACCAGATTTATCAATTGTAAAGTATGGTGTTGTCAATTCAAAGAGATATTGTGGTTTTGGATCGTCAATTCCCTGTAAAATAGGTTATGTTAGTTTTATAACCTCAAATTAGTTTTTTTTTAATTTTAAATGAATTTACACTTACAAAATCTTTATCTTCAACTGTAATCTGTATTGGCATTCCAATAATATCCACGACATTCGTCCCAATCGGCGCGTTCTCATCAACGAAGCCTTCCGATGCCGTCACTTGGATTTCCGGTGGGTTCGCATCGACCGGTTTAACTGTAATCGCCAGCTTAGCAGTCGTCGATCGTTTCGCCTCGGACACTTCCTGCGCTTTTAAAATAATGTCAAAGCGTTTTGTCGTTGACGTATCCACAGCCTTAGTCTGATGTATAGCTCCCGTATCAGGATCAACCCGGAAGTAGTCTGTAAATGTTTCCGGTGTTCCGCTTACAAACGAATATCTTATGGGTGCATTTATTGTATCCATATCGATAGCTTGAATCTTTTCCGGGGAGATGTTAAGCACACCATGAAGAACTCCACTCGAAACGGAAGCTTGGTATTCCGGATTGATGCATGTTCCGTCCAATAACATACATCCTTTGTAAATAAAGGAGGGATTCTGGTCATCGTCGTCTTTTATATTTATCGTGAGGATTGTTGATGAAGGCATGCGTTGGGATTCATTCCGAGCGCGATCCTGGTGTTAAAATATAGGTTATGTTAGTTATAATAGTTTAAAATTGAGGTTATGTTATGTTTTCATACCGTTGCAAGGATATTCAAATAGTATCGCTGTGTTTTCTCATAGTCCAAAGTCCGATTCACCGTGACCTGTCCCTGATGTGGTAAGTTGATAGCAAAGAACCCGTAGCCATCCGCAGAGGTGATGCGTGAGTTGCCTACATCATACTCACTCCCAATGTTGTCTTTTAAAGGAATTATTGAGTATTCAACCAAGCCATTCACCCCGGCGTCTTTGTCTTTCGCGTGGATGAATTGAAATATTGTTGTGCCTACAGGTGTTAATTCGGATATTGTTGTCATATAAGGAGTGTTTTGAAACTCTGGCGCGTTGTCGTTGATGTCTGTAAGTCGGACAATGATCGGGATTGATCGGCGTTTGTGGGTAGCCTTGACGGTGCACACCAATTGGAAGACAATGTGTGAGACGCCATCTTCGTCTCTGTCCAGTGGTGTCAATAGTTGTAGTTTTTTGCCGTTTAAGAAAAACACAGCAGGGCCTTTAGGGAAGTGTAAATCGAGGAATATATCTACATTGGGTTCGCCTTCGATTGGTAATTCTTTAGGGATTGTTTCTTGACTTATCGCTGTGGAAATTAATGAATTTTGTTGAGTTAGGCAACCAATGTTACGTGTGAAAGGGGAACTTACATGATCCTCTGCTTTCTTCAATGTCTAGAATTATATTGGACTGGCCTGTAGTTACGTCACATAATTCTGCAAATGGTTAGAATAAGAACATAGAGTAAGTGAAAATGTAAAAGGTCACAAACGCTGCTTTTGGTTTGAAATTGTTTAAAATGTATTTTATTCATATCTAGATCTTAAATAGAAAGAAAAAGCAGTCACGCCTACGTCTTAACCTCGCTCAACCTAACTTAACCGGAATATCATTGACAAATAACAGTTAGACCCTTGCGACATGCACGCAAACCGTCGTGGAGGAATAAGCTCCTTCATATTTATTATATCCGTCGAACGTGCATGACTCATATAGTCATACGATCGGATATCAAGTTATTTTATATAAAAACTAGTTAACCGGGCACACGTTGTTTTGCCATATAAATTATTTCTAGTTTCTAGATAAATTTTAGTGTAGACAAAAAGTAACTTACTTATTATAAAAAATAGGGGTTGGTGATAAAAAGCCAAAAATTTAGGGTTGTATGTATTTTTTAATGCCACATTAAGAAAATAAAAACAAAAAATTTCGACCAAAATAAAAGAAAAATTAAGGGTGAACAACCCTTATCACTTAGAGATATGAAGAATAGATAGTTGCCGATTCTCAGACCTACTGAATACGCATATAAACATTTTCTTTGGGCGGGATGAAAAATGATTAAATTACTAAAATGGTTAAAAAGAAATAGGGGTTGATGATAAAAAACTAAAAATTTAGGGTTGTATGTATTTTTTAATGCCACATCATAAAAAAATAAAAACAAAAATATTCGTCCAAATATTAAAAAAAAAGTTAAGGGTGAACAACCCTTATTACTTAGGGGCATGAAAAATAGATGTTAGCCGATTCTCAGACCTACTGAATTCGCATATAAAATTTGGTAAAAATCGGTAAAGCCGTTTCGGAGGAGTATGGAAACAAACACTGTGACACGCAAATTTTATATATGAGCCGTTTATTTTGAAAGTCACCTAACTCCGTTTTTCAATTTTTTGCCGGTTACCATGGTTACATGTACAACTTCATGTTATTTATCAGTGACGCACTTCAGATTGCATATATTCAGAGAAAATACGGTACATTTTTTACACATAGGTTTTCCGAATTAATTGAATAACTGACCCGTGTGGTTTGAAAGTGGCCTAACTCCATTTATAGTTACATCAAGGTATTTACTATTGATAATGTCGGAAAGCAGCGATGAAGGTAATTTCAATTAATTAGTATTTACAAGTCCACCTCATTTTTGGGACAATTGCGTTAGTTAATTAACCTGTACGTTTAATTAATATAAATCTTAAAATTTAATATTAAATTATAGAAATTATTGCACCAATGAGGAAGAACCGAAGAAGACCACTTAGTTCAGATAGTGAAAAAGAAATAGTAATTAATAAAAAAAAAGCGAATAAGAAAAAGAGTTATAAAACAATATTCCTCGTCAGAGGATGAAGATTCAAATAACAATGGAGAAAAGATTGATGCACCATATATCCAAAAAGTGCGAAAGATAAAACGGAATTCAGGAAAAAGATATTGCAGTTAAACCGGAAGTATTGTTCATGAAAAAAATTTCGAAAACAAAGATTGTGGTTGTCGGAATGCGTGCACAAAAAATTATAATGAAGAAGAAAGAAAGAATATTTTTGAGAAGTTTTAGGGTTTGGCAGATTTTAACAAACAAAATGTATTACTTCACGAAGCTGTCTGTGAAACGAAGACGTTTTTTTTCTTCAATTTGAAACATCTTAAATTATGTTGAATGGACTTGGGCATCTTCAAATTTTATAATGAATCTGGCTGTTAATTTTGAAAGTGGCCCAACTCCATTCTTGATAAGGAAACGCACGTTATTTACTTAATAATTGCCACTATTTTAACAGGAACTTTAAATTTAACATCCTAAGATACGCTTAAGCAGTATGACTCCTTTGTATCTTATACGTATATTTTTAAATTCATTGAAACGCAAAACTTTCAATATCTCGATTTGAAGATAAATGGAGTTAGGCCACTTTCAAAATAAGCGGCTCATATATAGATAACATTTCAATGATTATATATAAATTATATGTGGTATACAACCCAAAATACACTAAAGTATAATATGTTGCCTAATATCAGGCGTAAAATGATTTTATACAAATTTTATTCATGATTTCATAGTCGATTTAGAAGAAAAATCATTTACAGTTATATTCAAGCAATGAATAAACCAATCAATTTTAATATCGCTGATCAAACGCAGCAAGTTGATTTAATATGCATGAATACTAGTAACTGTTAAACTGTGAGTAAACGAAAATGAACATTAAGTAGGTACTTGTACGCACAGAGTTTCGTATCAGTTAAATCTCGAAACTCATTAATATCTATATTCATAAAGTCATTTTTTATTTGTCAATCAAAATGCAGTTTTGGGAAGTAAATTAAAAGTGATTGCATGAAAAATTACCTGCTGCTTGTGTGCTGAGTAGACAACACGCTGTCACCAGCAGAAAAACTAATGACGTGTGCCCGGAAACCGCCATCAAGGAGAAGATTTCCTGTAACAATAAAATTACACTTTAAAACACGATAAAAGATATAAAATTTATAAGAATTAGTTGGATAAATACAGGAAAATATTAAATACAACGATTTTAGTGTAATAACACCAAGAAATTATTGTTTTAATCGTTAATTTCCACAAAAATAAGTTTTTCTGTTTTTTAGAGAGTTTTAATTGTATGCAACCAGGTATACATGAATAGAAACGTTAAAATTAGATTTAAAAACATGCAATAAGTTAAATACACCACGAAATTGATTGTTTTAATCACGTATTTCCACAAAAATAAGTTTTTCCGCTTTTTAAACGTTTCAACAATATGCAACCAGATATACACCTATTAAAAAGTTAATTAAACTTTACAGAAGACAAATATTTTATTCAGATAAAGAAAAAACAACATATGTTCACTGTAGGAACACAGGAAGTCATTTATAAGTCGTAAATTATAACAAATAGAACATGTTATGTGTTTGGATTTAAGGTTAGACTAACAGCAACCTGTGGAGCCTGCTGTATCACGCAGCTGTCAACCGCAGTTACTCCGCCGCGTAATTAGCGCTGTCGTTCGACAATCCACACACTTTACAGCTAGAATTTATAACGTAACCTAATGAAGACGAGGTGAGTCAACTAAGCGAAAATTACTCAACTAATTTTGAGCGCAAACAATGCAAAAATGTTCGCATACTGTTAGGTATGAGAATATTCCCTCTGACTATTCACAATTAACCTCAAAATGTATTTGCTTACATCTCAGATGTCATTTATTTATTGTTTGTGTGCGATAAGTTGAAATACAGTTATTATTTAATTAAGATTTTAATGAGCATATAGCTATCAATTAAAATCCTGTAAATTGTAATGTTTTATCTCGTTTTAATTTGAAATGCGCTTTTTTAAACAATTTTCTTAAATTTTTTAAAATTAATTATAATTTTGTTTAAAATTATAATAAATTTTCTAGTCTTGAGCGTTGACATGACATTTTATGACACTTCCGGAAATTATAAATTACACAAGTGTTGCATTCTTACGTAATGAGTAATTTTCTGAAAAACTAATTAAAGCATGCAACACACGTAACACTAAAAAATAATTAACATGTTCATGTCAACAAACTCATTGTTTCACTCTGCATTCATTAAAAATATAAAAATATTAATTTAATAAATAGAAATTATGAATACGCCTGAAAGTATGCAACACATTTTACACCATGAATTACTGGTTGCCTATAATATATTTTGACGTGATTTTAACTAGTTTGACAGCAGGTGGCAAATTGCCTTGATAAATTGGGATTAATTTAAATTTAAATTCAAATCCTATAAAAATATTTCGAGGATTACTTCCTCATCGTTGAATAATGCAAATAAACATTATGCACACCTGAGAGATGCTTCTCAGTCGAAAGACTGTGGAGTGTGTTTAGAGAGTGTGGAATTTACGAGATGCACACTCGCATGTCGTAACCATCATGTCTAGGTGTAACCTAAGTGCTTGCTCGCTGGCTTCTTTCGACCAAATGCCTGCCATGCCAATGATACCAACATGGCGGGCATTCCGGCGCAGCTACATGCAAACCTGCATAGTTATCAATTTACATGATGCATTTTTTTACACATTTTACATCCGTACACATTAAACTCTCTCCATTTTGAAAATTTTAAACTTTTTATATTTAAACCTTTAAAACTTTTGTTTTTTATTTATTTTTTGCTTTAAACATTAAAATAAAAATGTCAAGGATATTATAACAATTTAAAATGTTTAAAAGTAGCCAAGTTTAGTTTTTATAACCTCAAAACAAAGCATTAAAACTAATTATTATTATTCTTCACATGACATCTTCCACTTTTCTGTGAAAGTTTTGAAAATGTGTAATTTCCGTTTGACATTCAACGTATATCAACGTGAAACTCAACTAAAAAGAAAAACAAGTAGAGAACAATGATAATTATACATAATTTAATTGTTATTTGATGTAGTGTACTAAAAAACTTAAAGTTTAAGCTTGAAGTGTAAAAATTGAAAGTCCTCGAAATTGCTACCATTATTTATTTACGTGTGGTGTAGACGAATTCGTTCAAGGTTACATGTGTACACACGGAACAATTTCAAAGAATGTTATTACAATCTAATCGTGTCTATAGACCTGAACAATTATATTGTACAATAGAATATATTCATAGACATTTTCATTATGTGACTTTCAAGAGTTTCAACAGACTATAATATGAACTGCAGAAAGTTATTAATATGTTTTGACCTTCAAAAATTACTCATCATTAGTTATAATTAGAAATAAGTATATTGAGTAAACAACTAGTCACACAATTTCAAGTTAAAAAAGTAAAAGATTTTTCTTGTTTTTATAGTTTGTAGATAAAATTTCACTAATGAATCAAATGAAAGTAAAGAAACTGGCGCAATGTTGTTTCAATTGAAACAATTGAGTATATTTCAATTGTTTTATTTGCTTCAACTGGGATTTAATCCTTGAAAGTACGAAATTTCTTTTTATTTCTTTATTTTTAGTTTAATTGTAGACATTCATGCACAATTGGTTGCATAAAGTTTCACGTTCTGTCAGAATATTGTAGTTGAAGCTTTGAGGTTAGATTTGTTTAACAAACGTGTAATTTATAAAGAAATTAATTTTTTCTCTTCGTTAAAATCTCATAAAAGTGAAAAGAAACATGAAAAACACATTTAGATGCTATACCTTGATGAAGTGATTAACTATTATACGGTAGATTTAAAAAAAATAGTTTTTTTCTGTTTGTACTCAAGTAGAAATGAATTCTAAACTAAAAGTGTTAATATTCTAATCTAATGGAATAACTTTCTTCAGACACGTACTATGCACACTCTGATACATATTAAGAACATATTATTACCTTGCTCTGATTACAACCAAACCACACGCAATACCAAATTATTTAAAATTTAAAAAAACAACTAAGAAAATTTTTGATTTTTGTGCAGTGATATTGTATTGTGATACAGTTCATTCACCAATCTGGGTTGAATTGGGTGGGATGCAGAGTCTGCATGCAGACTTGCAGAGGAAGTCGTTACACCTCGCTCATGACATGACACCGGCTGCACCTGCATTGCCCGCAATTATCATCATTCTGTGTGAGTGACGCGAACACATAATACACACACAGAGAGGTAAAGGTGTAATACCGCAGCAGATTCGTCTGGCATAGCGGAAATCGTACGCATCGTTGATTTATTTGGTGCTGGGTCAAAGTTACAATCATTTTGTCATTCATTTAAAAAAACAAGTTCAAAAAATTAAATCTGCGATAGTAGAAAAAACATTTTATTTTTCAAGGTTTTTAGTATTATAATTTAGTACCTACCTAAATTATTCAAATATGATGTCATGGTAAAGTTACGTTGCGCAAAAAAGACCTTGTGGCAATCGATAAGAAGTTTTAACGTTTTACGTTTCAATTTTCGACGTTATCGTAGGTTTATTTTTGTAATAAACTGACCTGAATTCTTGTGATAACAATATATAAACAAATAATTTATAAAATCAGTAGGTTTTGCTATTTTTTTAGGAAAAATGTACTTAGTTTTTACTTTTTGGACCTAAAATGGGTATATTTCATCAAAAAGTTTCGTAATTTTATTTTAAAGAAATAAGAAATGCTAATAATGCACTTTATCGCCATCTAGAATTCAATTATTCAAGTATAACTATGATAGAATCTCCATATCAACTTTAATTTCATTTTTAACACCCTGTAAGTCAAAATTTTTAAAATTTTAATAAGTATTCTTCTATTCTCAACCAAAACGAATCCAAAAAAACATAGATCATCAAAATCCGTCTAGCGGTTCTTGAGTTATACACGTTCTAACTAACCGCACTTTGATTTTTACCCTGCATATATCAATTTTTGAATTTCTAAGTTTTTCCTTTCATTACCCATTACATAACTCGCAACTTCAGTTCAACAAACGTAACAACCAACATCGTGACAAGACAAGACATTCACAACAAAATGAACCTGAAAGCCGAACGGCGCTCGCATTAGCAAGCGGAAATGCTCTTGGGCTACGTGCACGAATTCCTCAATCCGTTCAATGTTATTCAATGCAATCCAGCTGCGAAATTCGCCGCACAAATTTGCACACCCGTAAAAGCACGCCAGCCGTAAAAGCATATCACGCACGTAACAGTATCTCTCTTAAATATAATGACAAGTAAATAGTACACGTAACAAGAAACACCAATTTACCACGATTTACATTCAGTCACCCAGCAGGACAACACAATTGTGGCCATTGAAGGAAGTTTACTATTACTATTGAATTTTGTTGAATGTGGTTGAATAATCATTTATATTTCGATTTAATTTTTAATTCGTTTAAAAATCGATTTATTTCGGCTGTGGGTAATGGTGAAAGTTATCATTAACTTTTATTTTGTATTATGTTATTAATAACTGTTAGTTTTGTGTGTTTTACGTGACTTAACACCGGTTGCACATGATTTTAAAGACATAACCTTAAAATATCTAACTTCCTATATTATGAAGTATATAATGGTCAAAATTCACGGTTTATAAACATCAGAAACGTTATTCGTGAAATATCATTAATAAGTATACTTAATATGTTGTAATTTATAAATTCAGAAGTGAAGTAACTGTACTTATTACTTAATTTTTCTGCATATGTCTTAATAAGTCTCATATTACTTTTTGTGTGACTTAACCTTAAATTTTCTTTGAATGCTTTTAATTGTTTTCTATCTTTGCGAATGCCCGACACTCAAATACGTGAAATTGTTGTGTGCGTCTAACAGTACTTTGATTTCTTGTCGGTTGTGGCCGTGTCCGTTTGTTGAGCACAGAAGATTCTGCACAATAAACAGGTGTTTCTTGAGTCTTGAGATTGAATGGGAACCATTTCAAATCACGACGCGTCGGCTTCTTTGCAGTATAAACGAGCGCTTTTATTCATTGATTTTGCTTTCTTGTCGAAGAAAGGTTTCGCAGCGTGTGACCAGCGGCCATATTGAATTTTCGCGATAATGCGTGCCCGCATCAATATGCTTCGTTATGGTGCAGGTAGCAGGTAGATAAGTACGGTGTACAATACATGTGTGCTTACAATATGTTATTGTTCGTGGTTATAATAAATTATTTGCGTTGTATGGCGAGTGAGCGCTGACGTGGTAACGCGGTTTGGCAAATGGTGGAGATTACAAACAGTTGGCAAATGTGAGAATATTTTTGCTTTATAAATAGTTATGGGTATAGATATCTTGCAATATATTAGGTAATTTTTACAAAATTAGCAATATTAGTAATAATAGAGTGTTGTCTTGTTTTAAAATTAAATTTTATTGGTTTGCTTCAAAACCTATGTAAAAATTACATTAGTAGTCCTATGTTCGGTATGTATACCGCAAGTCCAACACTGAACTATTAAATATAATACAGCGTAGCTACTATTTAATGATAGACTCTATATAACGGCGAAATTTGTATAGTTTGGTTGGTTTATATTAATTTCCTCGTTATAGCGTTTCCGTTTCTGTGTGTATCAACGAAAAATATTTTAATTCCTAGCAATTATGACCTAGAATATTTGTTCAAATACATGACATCGATGGTAACATTGGAAATATTGTTGTAATTATGATCCCAACATCCCTACAAATTGCAATGCAAATTTTTATAACTTAAGCACGATTTTTCAGATCATTTGTTGGGGTGCACGTTACGTTACAACAAAATCATTTAAACATAACACAAGTGAATACAACTGAGCGACGCGGAATTCATATTTAGACTTCAGGAAATATTTACCGGCATTTTTACAAGAGTAATTGAGTATATAACCAGTGCAACAAAAGATTAAACAAATGCCAATCCACGTAAAATCAAAATATTTGCTTATTTTTGGTATTTTAATAGTTTTTCCTACTTAAAAACTAATTTTAAAGTAATACACCAATGAAGTGTAACGGAACTAATCATACTTCATGCATAATTCTTCAAATATGTTTTTAATTAGATCAACAAATAAACCCAACTTGTGTTCATTATATTCAATGTTTAAATAATATGTCTTCAATCTTGAATTTAAAAAAATTGCTGTGCCCATTCTCACACGCCTTTGCATTGAATAAAAATGATGTTGGGTATGCAGGTAAATAAATTCTAAATAAACGGAATCTGTGGAGCTCTATGAAACAACAAACAAGTTTCCAGCGTATTTACGAATAGGTACGAACTTTACCCATATCGTACAAGCTTTACAAGTATAGCTGCAATTATGGCATTATGGATAATGACTACACGTTTGCGTCTCCACCGTGTGTGTTACTGGTTAGAAGTATATTCGTATATAATAACTGTAACTGTATACAAAAATAAAATACGAGTAAAATCAACAAAACTACTTTACTTAGTGAAGAATTAAATAAATTCGCAGTTTTAGGAATATAATTGGGAATATAATGACTAATAACCAAAAACTTGAGAATATTTATGATTATCATAATAATTATAATAATATTTTAATAAGAATGCAAACAATTAAAATGTCATCTTATTTCCGTGTCAATTTAGGTTAGAATTTTTGAGGTTATGTACATTTCTGTGACGCGTGGGAATTTATTAAAAAATCGTTGAATTTTCTTTTGCTTTTTCTTCTGTGTGTCTCATTCATTCATTGTGTGTAATCCTCCTACACGTAACATTATTGAAACGTTGACACACAGCAATATAGTGCGACTAGTTCGACTTCGACAGCAATACAGCACGAACAAAAGTTCAAAGTTATCCAAGCGTTCCGTTCACTTTTCATTGTTGCGATTCGTTACTGGCTACTTGTTACATGCTGCACCAAAGCGATGTTTGGCTGCACACTGCACAATATAGAAAAGCACATTATTTGAGTTTGAGGTTTACGTCGAATTACAACTTTCTTTTTGATTAATTACATCATGGATTTTTGTAAGAAGCAGCCTTTTATGGTATTGTTACTGAAAATATTTTTTTATTCGTGGAATTGTCAAAAATGAAAATTTTGTTTAAATTATGTTAATATGCGCTTATGAGACAGCTTTCACTAATTAGCGTTATTACAACATTACTAAACAGGCAAGAATTGTCACAGGTATCATATTATGTCCTCATTTGGGTGATAATATGTTTAGTTAGTCATTTTATTCGTTACATCGTCATAGACAGTAAAATTAAACAAATTAAATAATAAACGTTTTCATTTCTTAATTTTATAAATAGTTTTATTGGTTTGTCATTAATTGATAGAATCTTTCCATAAATTTACTAATTTAATGTATAGTTAATTAATTTCGTAAATGTTAAGTATGTGTTATCTAAATATTTAATTTTCGCTAATGAGATAGCGTAGGTCTCTTATCCAGCACGTGATTATTAATATTTACATGATTAACAGTATTTAAAGTTTTTCTTCGGCTGGCGATTGGCACCGACTGCAACAACTTTCATCGGCCATCGACGGTATCAATATTAATGTTTTTATTAATGACTGCAGCGCGCCATCAGCGTCAGTCGTTGAAATTAAATCCATGATCTAATGTACAGTTAGGAATTTACGTATAATTAATTGCGTTTTTATTGCTTTGGCATTCGATTGTTTACTTTCGATTAGTAATTTGATGGAATTTCTATATTCTTACAAAGGTAGAAGTAAAGTTTTTAAACAAGATTTAATATGAAAAATAGGTATATAATGAATGAAAGGAGTTCAAGTGATTTCATACTCTTAATTAAATCGCAAGAGACCCGCAAGTTGTATGTGCAAGTTGTGGAAACTTTCCCGTCGCCATTTGTTGTGGGTTAAAACGAGTACAGTAGTTGCAACTTGTTTTTCATGTTTCATTGAGTTCATTGGGACGCCAGCGCCATTTCGCCGCGATCAGCAACAGTTTTATGTTTGTGTGTGAGTAATTGTGCAGTAATTAAAAATGATTGATAAGTCAAGGCACAGTAATGGCGGCTATTGAAGCGGCGGAAGTGCAAATGTCAGCCGAAATAGCTCAGTTGGGAGAGCGTTAGACTGAAGATCTAAAGGTCCCTGGTTCGATCCCTGGTTTCGGCATAACTTATTGAATTTTTTAAACAAAATTACTTAAACAAATACAATTTACTTAACAAATACATAAATTGTATTGATGTATATTTATATTGTGCTTATAAATATTCACAACTCACAAGCCCCCAAGTCAATAAACGTGTTGACTACACGTATGCATTCGCATAGAATAGCAGAATAATATCAGGGGCCAAGTACTCGCAATCTAAAGAGCAAAGTGCTCCAACTGCAACCGCCTCGTCTGGGTGTGTAGAGGAATGAAGAATTTATTTAAATTGCGAATGCATGACTATCTCAGCACGCAGGCCCTAACGATAAAAGTCAATAAAACGTAATATAAAGTAAGTAATAAAATAAAGTCTACGAATATTTATGAAGACAAGGTAAAGAGAGATTTTTGCAATGTATGTAAAAGAATAAAAAAAAAGAAAAAAATTAATCAACTGTCAATCATCTCGAAAGAAACTTTATCGTTTTGTTTAGAAAGTTTAATTTTGTAATCAGATAATAAATTTGTTTTTCTACTTACACCTATAAAGCGTCAGTTTTTCCGCGGTTTTTAGACACACAAAGTGGTACTTTATATACGGACGATCAAGCCGTGAGTAATATCCATTATCTATTGGTATTGTCTACGGGACGGAGCTTGCGCCTGCGCATTTCCCTACGGAGCAACACTAGACCGTATGAATTGCCATGCGACGTCTCCATAACATACCTACTTGTATTAAAATCTTTCAAAAGATAGTGTAAATCGCAGCATAATGTTAAACAAAATTGTTTATAAGCCGAAATAGCTCAGTTGGGAGAGCGTTAGACTGAAGATCTAAAGGTCCCTGGTTCGATCCCTGGTTTCGGCAATCCTTTTTCCTATTCCATATTTTGAATACATTTAACTCTTTAAAATTTAAATTTCTTAGTTTTTATTCATTTCTTTGAATAATTTAAGGTTATATTTGATTACCATAACCTAAAAACCCCTCCAACATTTCAATATTTAAATATTTAATAATCACTTCTTGGGTTCCTCTATGGTTTGAATATACAATGACTCAGAATTTAGCGCTGACCAAAAATCCACGAAAGAAATCACGCAAACCAAAGAATACGCATAGCATAAGAAATACTCGTATAAGAAGCGACTGGCTTACCTATAGCTGTATAGGTAAGTCCGAAGTTGAGAACATAAGACGAGATCGAGGTCATAACACTCTTTCGGTCGGGCCTAGCGAGCCGTATTGTGCTCGCACTAGGTTGCCAGTCGCAGCCTCCTCCTCACCTCACCGCTCTTCTCGCGCACAACTTCTTCCACACACCGCACAAGAGACACGAATACGGAATACGTTTATCTCTAGATATTTGCTGCGCTAGCAAACGCGTGCAGATATGTTGTAAACCCGCACCCGCAGATGTCCACGAGACAAGCTTTTAAGCTTCGGGATGTCGATGCTCCATCAAGCAACCAACCCAACCCATAAGAATATTTATATTTATATTCTAAAATGAATTACCTTGTTTTGTATAAAAGATAAATCCAAATCCACGAATATTTTTACTTTTTTTATGGTAATTTTAGGTAATTTCACTTCATGTTGAATTTTGGTACACTTTTGCACTTTCTTTGATTGATTACATCACGCACAACACATGAATAGAATTAATGTGATGCACAGGTGCTGATGGTTCGTGGGCGCTTCGATTCAAATTCTCCTCGCGTTTTGTTGCGTTTTGGTCGCGTGTCTAATATTCGCGCCGCACCTGTTGACGGTACCGTACTGCATGCGAGTTTGTTTACCAGTTTACCGCCCGCAATCAAATGCTTAACGCTTGTGACACTGGTGAGGTAACTGCTGCTGGTAGGCTAAAAGCACAGGTATGACACTCGCGACGCGCGCATTGCCCGGTGCGAACTGTCGAAGAGCGGCACAGGTAAGACGCGAGAGGCGAGACGAGAAGCGTCAATGGTGGTACCTGAAGACGACGAAGAATCTACGCGAACGAGAGATGGTGAGGTGGGCAGCCGGCAAAGATGTAGCGGTACCGGTGTAAAAGTACGCGACGAGGTACGGCGTGTCTACGCGGTACGAAACGAATGTTGTTTGAAAGAAGCTGAGCTTCTTGCCTGCTTTGGCTTTCATAAGTTTACTACTACAGTTGCTATGGCTCACCTGGTGAATACATTAACGTGTGTGGCATTCACGTTGGTCACGTTGGTGGAAGTTACTCAGTCATATCCCCACTAGTTTATGAAGTTTTTAAGTTGGTTTTTGTGTAGTTTGAGAGTTTAACGTAGGCAACTTGTGATACAACTGGCGAGAAGCCATGCCAGAGTTTCTTTTTTTCAGTTTTTAAGAAAAAGATGTAAAAAAGTTTTAATTTGTTGAAAAATATAAGACAAAACAAGCAATGGAAGTTCTGAGGTGATGATGTTGCGTTGATAATGTTAAAGTGGAGTTTTTAAATTTGGTTAGGTTATCAACAGCCGAAATAGCTCAGTTGGGAGAGCGTTAGACTGAAGATCTAAAGGTCCCTGGTTCGATCCCTGGTTTCGGCAATTGCTTTTACCGTTTTACCATTTTGGGATAAAATATATGTAGATAATGATGATATAAAATAAGATGAGTTTAGTTTAGAGTCTAAACTTTTGACTATCTAAATATATTGCATGCGCGCGCACACTGCAGACGCGCTCGACTCTATATGCGTGAGTCAAGTCGTCATCGTGTCAGTAACTCGTGTGCGCTTCACGCGGCTCGTCGAAATTCTACAGGTTGTAATTCGCTATATGATATCAAATTCCTGATTAGTTAATGATTTATTAGTAGTAGAACTTGTGCAGGAGTGTTCTAGCGGATATAAAATTATCTATTTGCAAAACAATTTAATTTTAATTGTGATTTTTGTTGGTTTTAGGCGTCTAGGAGCTGAACCCGTCGGCACAGCGTCTTCATTTTAACGTCATATTATAGGTATTAAATTTTTTTACAATTTTCATGTACAGCTTTTCCGGAAAACTCACGGAAAAGCCACAAAAACGCCATATTGGTGATTTGTTGATGCTGATTTTTGTTGGTTTTAGGCGTCTAGCAGCTGAACCCGTCGTCACAGCGTCTTCATTTTGACGTCATATTGTAGATATTAAAATTCTTTACAATTTTCATATACATCTTTTCCGGAAAACTCTCGGGAAAGCCACAAAAACGCCATTTTAGTGATTTGCTGATGCTGATTTTTGTTGGTTTTAGGCGTCTAGCAGCTGAACTCGTCGTCACAGCGTCTTCATTTTGACGTCATATTATAGGTATTAAAATTCTTTACAATTTTCATATACAGCTTTTCCGGAAAACTCATGGGAAAGCCACAAAAACACCATTTTAGTGATTTGCTGATGCTGATTTTTGTTGGTTTTAGGCGTCTAGCAGCTGAACCCGTCGTCACAGCGTCTTCATTTTGACGTCATATTATAGGTATTAAAATTCTTTACAATTTTCATATACAACTTTTCCGAAAAACTCCCGGGAAAGCCACAAAAACGCCATTTTAGTGATTTGCTCTGCTGATTTTTGTTGGTTTTAGGCGTTTAGCAGCTGAACCCGTCGTCACAGCATCGTTATTTTGATGTCATGTTATAGGTATTAAAATTCTTTACAATTTTCATATCTAACTTTTCCGGAAAACTTACGGGAAAGCCACAAAAACGCCATTTTAGTGATTTGCTGATGCTAATTTTTGTTGGTTTTAGGCGTCTAGCAGCTGAACCCGTCGTCACAGCGTCTTCATTTTGACGTCATATTATAGGTATTATAATTCTTTACAATTTTCATATACAACTTTTCCGAAAAACTCTCGGGAAAGCCACAAAAAACGCCGTTTAAGTGTTTTGCTGGTGCTGATTTTTGTTTGTTTTAGGCATCTAGCAGCTGAATATTGTAAGTACTTATTCCAGACTGACAATAATCTTGTCAGTGTGTTCCTTTTGTTTCAAATAATTTATTAAATTTATGTTAAAATTTACTTGGGTTGCAAAATAATTTTTGTGAGTAGTTTTCTTGGCAGCCGCGAAACTGAACTTTTTGCTTTGTTCATCTTGTCTCTCAACAGTCTCAACTCTCTTCCCTACTTAGTGGGCCGTGCGTTGTTGCGGGATGCGCATGTGTTTTATTCGTCTGTCGACATTCGTGGCATTCGGTGCCGACATTACAGTGACATTACATTCGGTGGATTGTCGACGGCGTGTGGTAATTACGGAATAATGTGTAATTATTGCGCGTAAAATTCAGGATTAAGATTTAGGAGCGCGCCTGTCTTCTGTCGGATATCTTTCGGTGATATTGAATTTCCATTGGATTTATTATTTCATGATTTGTTAGACACATTTCGGCTGTGTAGCACCTTCAGTCATTGTAACTAAGTAAATAAGATGAAATAAGGTAATATGTTGAAATCATAATTTAATTCCACTTAATACTTTTCAAATTTATTATATTTTGATTTGCATTTTTATTGAAATAAAATAATAGTTGACATAATATTATCAAGCATATTTATTTTGTATTCCCTTTATCGTTTCCAGAAATAGTTACAAAAGTTATTTTTGTATGATAATGATTGTATGAAGCCTATACAGTGTTGTTGTTTTTAAAAAGGTGAGAAATACAACAACATTTATACCTGAAACAAATAGGACTTGATAAGTGAGCGTTGTGGCTCAGGTGGCATGTGCATATGCTAGCATGCTGGAGGTTCATGGATCGAATCTCAGTTGTAGAAGGCAATTTTATTAAATAATAAGAAATTTAAGAAATGTGGGTTGCATACCACAAAAATTCAAGATTCAAATGTTAGAAATAACTTGAAAAGCAGAATACGACGAAGCAACAGTAAGAATAAGTTGAAGATGGTGGAGGAGCAAGTTGGGAACAGCAGCAGCAGGAGAAGTAAGAAGAGAAGAAAAGAAGAGAGAGTACAGGAAGAAAAGAGAATAGGGGTGACAGAATTTTTAAATTTTTTGGCACGTGTCGTTATAAGACAGTCTACGGTCTATCTCCCAGAGCGCCTCCGGCGCTCTGGTCGATCGCCCACTTCTTCGATGCGTCCATTGCTCCCGGCCCATCCTACAGCTACGATGTCTCTGCGCTTCATCCCCGGAATTATCAGGCATATCAACAATTTTTATGGTGGGGGATCATCCCCAGAGAGAGGGAACTCCTTATAAGGACATCCTTTTAAGAACTTGTAAAAATATTTCTAATTTTTAAGTCGCCTCAAGAGAAGGACACTTAAAAATATTCTTACAAGTTCTCACCTGTACCTGAAATGAAAGATGGAGTACACAAATCATACAGGATACCTTAACAATTTTTATAGTGGGGATCATCCCCTTATAAGGACTTGTAGAGATATTTCTAAGTGTCGCTGCTCTCAGAGCCGACCAAAACATTGAGAAATACTTTACAAGTCGTGATCAGTACCTGAAATGATAGAAGGAAGGGGTGCACAAGTCATAAGACACAGCCATTGCCTTTAACATTTCTTTATTAACAAAATAAATACAATATAAGTTCATAACTTGTATGTTCAATAGTTACAAGACATATGACGTCATTTTAAAACATGTTTATGACCTGCATAGCCGTGCCATGCTAACGGCTGTGAAATTACAAAAGATAACACTGGAAAATAGCAAATTGCGCATAACATCCGTGGAAAATTATATACAGGGTGTTATCAAAAGAAATTCTTAAATTTAAAAAAAAAACACACCAAAACAATAAAGATTGTCAATTTTTTGGCAGGGCATAAAGAAAATTTACATACCGGGTGTTGTCAAAAGAAAATCTTCACTGCAACAAACTACTACCACCCGACGAAGAATTTAATTCCGCATCTTTTGACACCGCGTTGAAGTTGGTGAGACGTCTAGATCGCGCGCAAACCCGAAAAAACAATGAAAAATTACAGTTTTATGCAAATTTTCGCGGGTTATAGGGGGAGTTTCTGCAACAAACTACTACCATCCGACGAAGAATTTAATTCCGCATCTTTTGACACCGCGCTGAAGTTGGTGAGACGTCTAGATCGCGCGCAAACCCGAAAAAACAATAAAAAATTGCAGTTTTATGCAAATTTTTGCGGGTTACAGAGGGAGTTTCTGCAACAAACTATTACCACCCGACGAAGAATTTAATTCCGCATCTTTTGAGGCCGCGCTGAAGTTGGTGAGACGTCTAGATCACGCGCAAACCCGAAAAAACAATGAAAAATTACAGTTTTATGCAAATTTTCGCGGGTTACAGGGGGAGTTTCTGCAACAAGCTACTACCACCCGATGAAGAATTTAATTCCGCATCTTTTGACACCGCGTTGAAGTCGCTGAGACGTCTAGATCACGCGCAAACTCGAAAAATCAATGAAAAATTACAGTTTTATGCAAATTTTCGCGGGTTATAGGGGGAGTTTCTGCAACAAACTACTACCATCCGACGAAGAATTTAATTCCGCATCTTTTGACACCGCGCTGAAGTTGGTGAGACGTCTAGATCGCGCGCAAACCCGAAAAAAACAATAAAAAATTGCAGTTTTATGCAAATTTTTGCGGGTTACAGAGGGAGTTTCTGCAACAAACTATTACCACCCGACGAAGAATTTAATTCCGCATCTTTTGAGGCCGCGCTGAAGTTGGTGAGACGTCTAGATCACGCGCAAACCCGAAAAAACAATGAAAAATTACAGTTTTATGCAAATTTTCGCGGGTTACAGGGGGAGTTTCTGCAACAAGCTACTACCACCCGATGAAGAATTTAATTCCGCATCTTTTGACACCGCGCTGAAGTCGCTGAGACGTCTAGATCACGCGCAAACTCGAAAAATCAATGAAAAATTACAGTTTTATGCAAATTTTCGCGGGTTATAGGGGGAGTTTCTGCAACAAACTACTACCATCCGACGAAGAATTTAATTCCGCATCTTTTGACACCGCGCTGAAGTTGGTGAGACGTCTAGATCGCGCGCAAACCCAAAAAAACAATGAAAAATTACAGTTTTATGCAAATTTTCGCGGGTTATAGGGGGAGTTTCTGCAACAAACTATTACCACCCGACGAAGAATTTAATTCCGCATCTTTTGAGGCCACGCTGAAGTTGGTGAGACGTCTAGATCGCGCGCAAACCCGAAAAACAATAAAAAATTGCAGTTTTATGCAAATTTTCGCGGGTTACAGGGGGAGTTTCTGCAACAAACTATTACCACCCGACGAAGAATTTAATTCCGCATCTTTTGAGGCCACGCTGAAGTTGGTGAGACGTCTAGATCGCGCGCAAACCCGAAAAACAATAAAAAATTGCAGTTTTATGCAAATTTTCGCGGGTTACAGGGGGAGTTTCTGCAACAAACTATTACCACCCGACGAAGAATTTAATTCCGCATCTTTTGAGGCCACGCTGAAGTTGGTGAGACGTCTAGATCGCGCGCAAACCCGAAAAACAATAAAAAATTGCAGTTTTATGCAAATTTTCGCGGGTTACAGGGGGAGTTTCTGCAACAAACTATTACCACCCGACGAAGAATTTAATTCCGCATCTTTTGAGGACGCGCTGAAGTTGGTGAGACGTCTAGATCACGCGCAAACCCGAAAAAACAATGAAAAATTAAAGTTTTATGCAAATTTTCGCAGGTTACAGGGGGAGTATCTGCAACAAACTACTACCACCCGAAGAAGAATTTAATTCCGCATCTTTTGACGCCGCGCTGAAGTTGGTGAGACGCCTAAATCGCGCGCAAACCCGAAAAAACAATGAAAAATTACAGTTTTATGCAAATTTTCGCGGGTTACAGGGAGAGTTTCTGCAACAAACTCTTACCACCCGACGGAGAATTTAATTCCGCATCTATTGATGCCGCGGTGAAGTTAGTGAGACGCCTAGATCACGCGCAAATAAAAAAAAACATGAAAAATCACAATTATATGCCAATACGCTGCATGCGGCATGAGGAGATAGCAACGCCACACAAAAATGTTGTATATACACAAACGCAATGCCCGACGCAGAAATTAAAACGAAAAATATAATAGAATTATAAACTTACCAATGCAGACGTCATCAGACTCCAAAGCACGAAGATACTGTTAATAACAAAAAACGAAACATTAGTTAAAACCGAAATAATTCATACGATTAAATAATACTATATTCACACCGCGGAGAAAACAATCAATCTGTGCTGTTTAGTTAAAAGTTACGTACTTACACCCGCACGATGGGTCATCGTAATGATGAATAAGTCAACATGTGGGCGATATGTATCCTATTCATTTAGCAACCGACAACGAACCTTGTAACTTGCATAAGTATGCACACGAAACACGATCAATATAAAGTAAATTTAGAAAACAAAAGTCCGAACAAATAATACGAGTCGCTCAAAACACGTCTGCATCACCCAGCGACCGGCACAAAACTGGCTGCAATCCGCTGATAGTGTATGCCGTTGCGCCGAGCAAGTAACAATACGACAGTTTCTTATCGTAAACTGCAAGAGCAAGAGCAAGAGCAAGAGTAGCGCATAGCCAGAACGACCCGCGACCTTGTGCCCGAATCGCATTTGGCTTGGTACCTGCGATCAAAACTAAACTAAGATGCGGCAACGTGCGGCATGAGGGGATGGCAACGACAAGACACGAGAATGTGATAAGTATAAAATGTAATCGAAACAAACACAGATCTCGAGTCGAATGCCCAAATTTGCATATGTAATAAACAATAAATAATAAGCAAAAAAAAACTACTATACGCAATACCCTCTCTAGTCATTGTTGTGAAATGATACTCTGTTAGAATCATTGCAAATCAACGCAAGTTATATCAAATGAGAATTTAAAATATTTTAATTTCGTATTTTAAGTAATTTTTGCCCATTTTTTTCAATCGCGAATATCTCGTAAACTAAAAGAGAAAAATTGGAACGAATCTCAGCGCCTTAATCTACGGACTATTCTCTATAAGATAGGATAGTTAAAACGCATATCTAAGAGATGAAATTTTAAGTCTTAAGAAAAAATTGCTTGACAATTTACTTTTTTTCGACGATTTTTGATAATTAATATCTCTTAAACTAAAAGCGATAGCAACCAACGAACTGCTGATTATGATAGATTGGAACATTCTCTATCAGATAAAAATATAAAATAACTATATTTCCTAGAGTAAAAGGTCAAAAAACGCGACTAAAAGTGCTAAAAAGTGACATTTTTCAATTTTTGACGATTTTTTTCAATCGCGAATATCTCGTAAACTAAAGCAGATACATAGGTACAAATCGCAGAGACTATTCTACGAACTATTTTCTAAAAGATAGGCTAGTTAAAACCGAAATCTAAGATATGAAATTTTGAGTCTTAAGAAAAATTTGCCAAGGGGGGGTGCTTAATACTTTTTTTCGACGATTTTTGATAATTAATATCTCTTAAACTAAAAGCGATAGCAACCAACGAATTGCTGATTATGTTAGATTGGAACATTCTCTATCAGATAAAAATATAAAATAACTATATTTCCTAGAGTAAAAGGTCAAAAAACGCGAATGAAAGTGCTAAAAAGTGACATTTTTCAATTTTTGACGATTTTTTTCAATCGCGAATATCTCGTAAACTAAAGCAGATACATAGGTACAAATCGCAGAGACTATTCTACGAACTATTCTCTATAAGATAGGCTAGTTAAAACGCAAATTTGAGAGATGAAATTTTCATCCTCAAGAAAAAATTGCCAAGGGGGGGTGCTTAATACTTTTTTTCGACGATTTTTGATAATTAAAATCTCTTAAACTAAAAGCGATAGCAACCAATGAATTGCTGATTATAAAAGATTGGAAAATTCTCTATCAGATAAAAATATAAAATAAGTATATTTCCTACAGTAAACGGTCGAAAAACGCGACTAAAAGTGCTAAAATGTGACTTTCTTAAGAAAAAATTGCCATTTTTGCCATTGACATTTTTCAATTTTTACCCATTTGTTTCAATCGCGAATATCTCGTAAATTAAAAGAAATAGACAGGAACGAATCGCAAAGTTTCAATCTACGGAAAATTCTATATCAAATAAGCTAGTTACATTGGAAATTTAAGAGATAAAATTTGTGCTTGCTACCTGTTTACTTCACTAATGAGTTCCGGGGTCGACAGAGACCTACCGTCTAGAACAAGTCTTACGCTATCTCTATATGCAAACGGCATTGAAATGAATTGGCGGGTCCCAAAAATGAATCATCTATATTCTAGAACAACCCTTGAGCGCGGGATTTTTACCATTTTGTTCTACGCATTACATATGATACAAACAATAAAAATTCAACTAACCTTTATATTGCTGTAAATCAATAAAATTTTAATCCGTAGTTCAACACAAAATAATAGACACAATAAACACTTATTATGGACACTGTCGTTTGTTGATAAAATGTACCACAGTTCTTAAAACGAGAAACTCAAAACAGACACGAGATGCACACGCGAGATGCACACGCCCGAAAACCGAAAGTGATACTGAACCACGAGAACCACAGCAACTCCGCTGCCTTGGCTGAACGCGATAAAAAAGTTGTTTGTGCATGCGTTGATAAGAGACCTGTGCACATACCAAAACAAGTCAACTGCCGAAGATTCAAATTAAATTTCGTTGTATGTGAGTTGTAAAGTCGCATTCAATTAAAACAAGAAATTAAAATTAAAAAAAAAAACATAAAGAAACTGCTTATCTTGCAATTCGGTGAAGATTTTAAAGTTATTTTCAGGTATTTTAAAAGATTATAGGTATACGAACTACTTACAATGTGGGGCATCTTAATTAACAAAGTAATTATTGAGCTGCCTACTACAGGATTTCTTTTTTATATATCCAACCTTTAGGTAACTCACACGCAGGTGTCGCTAGCATGTTCCATCTTAAAAGAAATTCAATATTATTTTAAAATATTTATAGGATATTCTAATAATCTATTAATAATCTAATAGTGTTTAGTACTTAATTTAGTATAAATAAATCGAAAAAAATAAATATAAATATAATTATTAACAAAAGCCATACAAGAAATATTGAACTGCATATCAATAAAATATGTTGAAATGGCAAATCAATAAAAATATTGAAATTTTTAATGTTTTCTCAATTAATTTAATTACTATGATTAATTGTTCAACATGTTTATGTGTCCTTAAATCAAGTCTTATACCCAAAGTCATTGCACCAGACTTTTCCAACACAGATTGTACATTTTCGAAAGAAAAAATCCAGCTTGTTGAACGCTAGCGCAAGTTGATGGGATCGCGCCCGTGCGCAATTTAGCTGTCACAGCCGCATCAAACAGCGGCTCTATAATTTCGCCCCGGCCACACACTCGGTGCGAAACAACGAAACCGACGCAAACGGCACAATTTCGATTCCAGCCGCAGCCACCACAGGAACCCAACAACCGACACACAGACTAGCGACAACATGTGGATGGATAATTTGGCTGCAAAATTGCAACAGTTACAACGCCGACAAACATCGACCACATGAAACTATAGACTGGAAAAAGACGCGCCGAGCGTACAAGAGAATCAGAAACCAGTAAAAACAAGTAAATCGTGGAAAACAAGTCGCAAAGGTAGGTATATAATAAGGGCACAAGCGGCGCAATTAAAATAAACATAAAGAAAAAATTGCGCAAACGTTGCGTTCGTTTCATTACAACTCAAAAATAAATTAAAAGAATTAAAAACATGTGCCGAAACCAGGGATCGAACCAGGGACCTTTAGATCTTCAGTCTAACGCTCTCCCAACTGAGCTATTTCGGCTGATAGTTTAAACAAAATGTAAACAATTACCCAGAATCTAGTAAAAATAATATTTTCTCAAGTTTAAAAAAAATCTAAAATTATAATGACCGCAGACTAATTGCAGGCATCGTCCGGCGGTGAAATGTGTACTCGTACGTCTCACCTGTTCGTATAAAAACGCCGTCGAGACGGAAAATTTAAATACGAAGCGACACTCATAAGTAAAACCAGCTTACTTACTCGTATAGAGTATGTAGAGACGTTGTCGTCGGCGTCGTCGTCGTGCATGAAATCGCCGATGAAGTTATAAGTTGCTGCTTTGTGGCGGCTCGTAAAAAACGTCTAAAACACACGGCGCTTGCGACGTTTCGCAGGCTTTGCATCTTTGCTCTTAATCGCCGTTGAAATTAAAATGTCTTAATCGCGGTTAATATTACATAATATTCTCGCATTCATTAAAGGCAACAGGGAAGTAGAGAGAGGCAGTTTATGAGGGCGATAAACGCATTTTATTGGCGTCGGTATTTGATAGAGGCAGGAAAGGAAGTATTAATAAAGATTTAAGGGTTGATAGGAGCGGATTTAATTTTAGAGAATTTTTTAATTTCGTTTTTGATTTATGAGTACTGCTGATTTGGTTGGGTTATCTTGCCTTGGGCAGCAGATGTTTATATTAGTGTTTATCTTAATGACAAGTTGTAAGATAAGTTTTGCTTTTGTTTTGTTTTAATTTATAAATAATTAAAAATCGCAATAACACGTTGAAAAATGATTGCATCAGCCGAAATAGCTCAGTTGGGAGAGCGTTAGACTGAAGATCTAAAGGTCCCTGGTTCGATCCCTGGTTTCGGCAATTGTTTTACATATTTTGCATGTGTGGCGATTCACAACTGTTCTAATGCGCAGGCAACACAATATGGAGAACAACAGTGGCGTAACTGTTCCATCGGAGGCTCGGGGAACCTTTTTAAAAGCTATTCTTGCCATAAAAAGAGTCAAATTATAATTTAATTATAATACACCGTCTTTTTCACCCGAAATCTTATCGAGTTGGAGGTCTGTGACTTTTAACAGCCTTGTTACGCCACTGGTGTCGAAATACTGATGACACAACAAGTAGAAAAACCGTAGAAAAACAAAGAATTTTATCAAAAGAATTTAAATTTCAAAAAACCTTTTCGCGGTTACCACAATCGTGATTTCAAAATTCTTAAATAATACAAAAAACATGAAACTTACATGTGTTTCCCTGGATGTTCCAAAATGGCCTGAAGATCCAAGATGGCGTCCGAAACCTGAAAAGCAACATGTTTCAGTTGTAGCCACCATGTACAGCGCACACACAAGCAGACAGGAGACAATTAAACGCATGCACTTTTTTCGTGTCGAAATGTGGATTGTGGATTTCGTGCGTATTGAGTGTCAGCTCGCTTCGTTTATTTTGGTTTCGTGTCGAATTTGGCTTTTCGTGATTCGCCTTTTCGCCGACGCCAGAGTTTCACGTGTGCGTTTTCGGTGCGCGTTCACACACAACAAATGTTCACAATCGTCGGCGGCGTCCACAGCGGATCACCAGCTTTCGAAAGGTCCAGTTACGCTTCTCCAGGAGTCAAAATTATGTGCACCCACCAAATTCGCGTAAAAAATGATAAACTACAGTGAAATTCATAGATTAGTGAGTGATAAGTGATATAACTAGTGCTGTGAGATGTGCATCACTATAGTTATCAACAATATAACCACAAAAGAGTAAAAATGTAAGAAGAACTAAATTTATTTCTAAAATGTGTAAAATTGATTCAATGCCGGGTTTTAATATGCATAAGTTCCCTAGGCCTCTAAGTAAATCGTTTATTTCATAATTAATCATTAGCGAAGAAGGCATGCGAGTTATCTCGATGATTTAATCAACAATTAATCACTGAAAAGCGACTTGTTCACGAGCAGAACACTTATAAATCGCTTTTTAATTGCAATTTTTACGCAGATACATACGAAAACAGCGTAACGACTTTCGCAGCATGATTAATATAATAAACCTTAAAATTTCCAACGTAATGAATATTTAAAAACGATAATATTGGATGAAAAAAACTGCCAAAAGACCAATAAACAGAATCCGGCGAGCATTAATCAATAATTTCATACTTAGCGCGAGCAAAGCGTCGATTTTCACGGTATGATGATGCAAACCTGTTGGCATTAACCGTAATTTCTCGGTTAATCGACAATTAGTATGTCGTTAAGAATGATAAATGTTCTTTTGCACAGAAAACGCAAAGAACATCATGATACAGTCATTAATTTCAATGATTTCAAAGTCAAGGATGCACATTGCAATCTAAACAAAGTTAAAACTTAAAATATAAACAAAATGGCGGTTTATTATTATAAACATTTTATTATCAGCCGAAATAGCTCAGTTGGGAGAGCGTTAGACTGAAGATCTAAAGGTCCCTGGTTCGATCCCTGGTTTCGGCAGTTATTTTATTAAAATTACCAAGAAATTCATCAGGATAAAAATATTTACCTTTATTCTTAAATTGCAGCTACCGAAAATTAGTGCACAAAGTGTTTCAGCGATAATTGCCCATAAAATAAACCGAACACAATGTGTGCTGTGTGCGATTTAACGCGCAAGGCGGACATCTGTAAGAGTCGAGCGTCCGGCGGCGTCATTAAATTTGCATTAATTCATCGAAACACTTAACGAGACAAGATGCAACTGCAACAAGCAATCTACCGATTTGCCTCGCAGATAATGAATTAATGTTAGGCGCAAGTGCGTACTAAACTCGCATTACTCGAACTAATTAAGCGTTTAAAACAATATCCATCAAAAAAAAACTTTCCCTTCTTTAATATCCGAAATAATATTCTGCGAGATTTTTATCTTGTTTATTTATGACTTATTTCGTTTAGGGTAGACTGGGTACGGTAGTACCAGGGGCGGTAGTACCAAAGCAAATATCTCGTGAACAGTTGAGCACAGCCCTATGCGTTCAAGGAGTGATAGTAGCCGCATACAAGTTGAAGTATGTAAGTTGTAAGTTGAGTCACACAAAGCCAGTTACACGCGTGTAGGACGTGTTTTTGATTTTTTGAGATCAAAAGTAAATATTTGATGATGAATTGTTTTTAGTTTTAAATCTTGTCTTGCGTGTTATATTATAGGTACGTGTGTGTTTATTGAAAATAAATGGTTTTGAAGAATAAAGGTATGTTAATCAAATTCTTGTATCTCTATTATTTTTTATTATTAAATATAATTTGGAAAATGTCCACATGGGGACGGTTGTACCAAATAATATGGGGACAGTTGTACCGGTATAAACGACCCCATGCCTTGTATTATTTTAAAGTAAAATTTCTTTTTCTTTCTAAACGTAAAACGTTTGCTTTATATTAGATGCCACGAGTACGTATTCGCAAAACAGGAAAAGGCCAACATGATGATAGCGCTTATATCAATGCCTATGAGTGTATATTGAGTGTAAGAACTGGGCTCATGAGCAATGCACTGACGGAGAACCCAGCTACGTATGCAATAATTGTGATTCCAACTAATTTTATTGTTGCACACATAGCAGGACATTTAAGTATAATTTTAAAAGTGTTTTCTTTATTGTAATAAATACGTTTATTGTAATAAATAAGTTTTATTTCTGTATGGTACAATCGACCCCACCCCCTGGTACAACCGTCCTGAGGTCTGAGGTCGGTTGTACCATTTCTCACCCACAACAAAATTTAGATTTATGAAGGTACTTGTAACCTTGAGGGATTAAAAATATGGGCAAAACGTAGCCAGATGATTAGGCATTAAACTATGACAAGTACCATTGGGCTAAGTAAAATCCTATTAAGCCTACAGGCAAAAATCTAAAAAATGGTACAACCGTACCCAGTCTACTTTTTACTTAAGATAAACCAAAATGACATAATAATATATGCAATACAGTTATAATTTATATAATATGGCAATAGTTGTAATTATAACAGTGTGGCGCAACCAAAAATGTAATTATTACAATATTTATTTTATTTTAAGAATTTAAGAGTTAATTAAAATTTAATTCGTAATTTTAAAAGAAAATTACCTAGCAATCTCATTGACATCAATATTTATTTATTCACACAGCCGACCATTAATTATTCTAGCAATTAACTCAACTTAAGTTACCTTAAATTGTTTTTTTTCTTATTTTAATATTGTGTACAAGTATTGTGTGAAATGTCGAGATTAGTTTCATTCAGGAATCAGGACATTTTCCACTCTGATAAGTCCGCAATCGTGCACCACCGCGAATAATTAATAACCGCACAAGGAATGTAATTACGGCGTTCGCGTTTTGCAATCGACATTAATACGAGTAATTTCTATTTAATCAACAACAATCACAATACAATTTTATATTCTTCTTCAAAAATACCTATAAATCCAACTTTTACTAAATACTTTTAACAGTTTAACAGTTTGTTAGCTTATATTAATATTTTATTTCCTTTTTTCAACGCCTCTATTTTATATTTCCCACACGAGCGTCGTAATTCATTTTTATTTCCCGCTTTATCAGCAAACCATTCCCCATTCGTCTCCCCAGCAATATCAGCATATCAGTAAAACAATAGCAGTGATGGCGCGCTGTACTTTAACCATCAGTCATCATGAATTAAAAATAAAACAACGGCGAGCATTAAAAGTTGCATATTTATATTGATTTTAAAAATATGCAACACACATTGCACGAAATTAATTGCCTCGGCGTATATTTACGTATAATCGGCGTTCATTTATCAAAAGTGACTGAAAACATTTGTCGTCTGTCTTGCGATTTGTTTTTTCAATGTTTTACGGCGTGTTGCCGCATTAATACGAATGCCTAAAGTGCACGACGCGTAAAAACGGAATAAATTTCCGAACGCACAGAAGCCACAATGCTTATTTGCATCTTGAATAAATAACTTTTTGTTACTTTAATTGTGCTCAACACCAATTACCACAAATGTATGAATAATGCAAATAAAATATTTTAATATTGTTTAAAAATGTTTTTCCTGTTTATTTACTAGATAAAAATCATCGTCGCAAGTTTTTTATAAATAGAAATGATATTGATATGTGTGATAAGTTTTATTACTCGATGCGACGAGGGCTGAAAGCATTAATATTTGTTTAATTCGTCATTCGTTATGTTGGGCTGCCATTTATCAGCGCGTTGGCTGCTACTGGGCGCCGCCGAGCGCCGCCATACAAACAAGGGGTGTGTTCAGTGTTTACACCCTTGCGTAACCAGTAGCCGCGCACCGTGTTACCCTCATCAATATCGGAGCGCCCCTTTCTCTGCAATGCGCAGCATTGTAATCGAGGGTTGTAAAATGGATGACGATGACATCTACCAAACTAGCGTAGATTGATATGGTGCTATGTTTCTAATACCAGTAAATAGGTAACAATTGAGGTTAGAGTTGAAAATGGCGCCAAAAATTCAACTTTCACCCCTTGAGGTTTTTGATTGTCTCACAATAAAAATATTTTTCTTTTATATTATATTCTTTACATTGTATTGTATGTTTAAGATCCAGTTGTGGTCCGTCTCGCTAACACAATGGCGCGTTTTTTTGTATAGTAAAACCCCGTCTCGACCTCGTCGCCGTCGCCGCTGTTATTACGAGCCCGCAATTACGCTAGCGTGACTGTAGGAGGCGCCGGTAGCCGTTCGGAAACTCACCAATCATAACTCGGCAAAAGTAATAATACCTTGGCGAGCCGCGTCGAGCCGCCGACCATATTTGAAAATTGTGCCTAATGCATATGCTCCATCCGCCTGTATATGTGTGTGTGTGTGTTTGTTGTGAACAAACAACAAACAGAGAGACACACATCAAACACATCCTATACACAACACACAGTGCAGTTGTGCAGGCAGTGTAGAGTTGGAAAAAATTAATATAATATGTATAATGTATATTTATGCATATAAACAAAACAATGTGCATAAACTCGTAACTTGTTTGTTTGTTTGTACAAATTACATTGTGGCGGCCATTTTGATTTCAATGCAGAGGTAGACATAGAAATATTTCAACTTAACTTTAACTGATTTTATTTATTATTTAAAGTGGATATTAATAGTATGGCAGCCATTTTTGTAGCAGGAAGTAAGGGGATATAGCTCAGTGGTAGAGCATTCGACTGCAGATCGAGAGGTCCCCGGTTCAAACCCGGGTGTCCCCTAAATTTTTCATAAATTTTCTTTAAAAAATAAACAAAAAATTTAAAAAAAATTCAACT